TTTTATTATTTTGTTACTGTCTTCTCCATTGTGACACACAAGGAAATTGAGGGAAGTCTCTGACTTTTAAGCTGTCCACCCAAGTAAACCAAACAAAATGTGATTTTCCTGCTGTCTGCTGCTTCGGAGGCATAAAGTAACGAGGCACAAGCAATTTGGTGAACGAGGCTCTGACTCAGTCTGGACAGGGACCTTCTCCTGCCCCACAGCTGGGCCCCAGCATCGGAACACACTACCTCGGCCTTGGCCAGGGACAGCACCCCTGATCCTGGCAACAGCCCCTGGCTCCCCAGCCATCTCACTCCCACAGTGCACAGGGCGCCAGGCACCTCAAGTCCTGGGCCAACTGGCCCGACGTGGGCATCCTTGGGCCCGTCCTCCTGGTGGCCCCACTCCATCCATCCGGCCCGAACAACCTTCCAATCAGCCTGGTCTGCAGGAGAGAGCCCGCTGGACCGTCCACTGCACGGCAGGAAGTCTGACCGCCACCTTCGCCCATGCATGCTCTCTCTCGCTGCCATCCGTCTGGGGGCCGCTGTCCTCACAGCTGTTTCTGAGGCTCACATGCCACCCTCCTCACGTCGGCCACCTGGCCCGGGAGATGTGGTCAGCCCTGATCACCATGGGGGTAGGGCTGCATAGGTACCCTAGGTCAGCTTAGCTGCCCCTCTCGCCCTGTGACCCAGTGCCCTGTACCTGCCTGTCACCTCACTCGTGTCCAGAGCATCTCCTGGGAAAGAACGACAGCTGGCTGACCTCAGGGTGCCTGGCTCAACCCTCACAAGGGGCCATGCCTGGGCCTGCACAGCTGCCACTCTGCCAGGACTCGGGGGGCCCTGCACCCCAGCATAGCCCCCACCCCACCCCCATGGTTCCAGAAGGGTCCAGAAACCAGGGCTTCTGAGAAAGCGGTGCTGGCTCCCATGCCCGGGGCCCCCCAGCTGAAGGGCCACGTGAGTCATGGATGGGAACTGGGGAGCCGTGCCCATGAGAACTGCTGTTTATTCCCGAAGTTGCCAAAATCATCACCAAGGATTCACTGAGGGTGTGAGGAGGAGGCTCAAACACTGATTGAGGGGCCGTCAGGAATGGGAGAAGGGGCGGGGGGTGCAGCTGTCCCACCCTTTCTAATGCCACGGGAAGGGGTCCTCCTCTGGCCAGTACCCTCCCTATCCCCCACGTCCAGTTTCTCTCCGGGAGGTGGGTGGGGAGCGTGGGAAGAGGTGTAGTGTGAGTGGCCCCAGGAGGGGAGGGTGCTGGGGGGTCCCCACTTCACATGCACTCACAACACTGGTCTCCCAGGGAGCAGAGACGGGAGCTGGGCTGGGCCCACCCACGCCCACCCACTCCCACCCAGGCTTATAGGAGGAAAGGGTTAGTGTTGGGGGCTGGGGGGCCCGGGGGCATCATGGGGGGCAGGCCTGGGCCCCCACCCAGTGGAGAGATGTATGTCGGTGGCACCCCCGGGACCGGGGGCCCAGGACTGAGCCGGAGCTGGTTCAGGGTGAGTGTCGCAGGGGGTGCGGGCTGGAAGGGGTTGGTGATGGAGGGACCAACAGCCGGGGCTCCTGCAGAAAGAAGAGGACAGGCGCACAGAGCAGAGTCAGGGGGTCTGCCTGGGTGGGAGGTCATGAGCGAGACCAGCATCCCGGCTCCAGGGGCCACACTCACCACTTGGTAGGAAGGGATTGGAGGCCTTGGCTCCTGGCGGCGTGGGGCCTGGCCGGCTCACCAGCGAGTCCAGGTCTACGAGGGCCGCATTGGGCCCCAGGAATGACTCTGGCGTCTTCCGCGTGGGCGGTGTGGGGGTTGGGGCTGCTGGGGGCGGGGGGCTCCCCACAGCCTCTGCCAGAGCGCCCCCAACTCCACTCATGTCAAATGCCCCAGGACTGCGGGCAGGCACCTCTCCGGCGAGCAGCTCCAGCTCCCCTGAAAGGAGCAGAGGGGGCTCACAGCAGGAGCCTCGGAAAGGAGGCCAGTGGTACCAAGTGGCAGAGCCCAGGGCCAAAACCAGGAGGGCCTGAGGCCGAGGGACAAAGATCAAAGGAACACTATCTGACAATCCCCAGGGCAGTGATGCTGGGAAAGAACTACCCACGAAAGAACCCAGCAAGTGGAGGTAGGACGCGCCCCACAGTCTCGACTAAAGTGCATGGTGGGGAAACAGGCAGGTGATCCAGAGGGACTTAAGATGACATTGTTAGTTTGAAATCCAACTTTAAAAAAAAAAAAAAAAAAAAAAGATTTAAGAATCCTATCTAACGCTGGGAAAAAAAATGCACAAATTTGTCTGACCAAAAAGGCGTGAAAGAATGCAAACTGCAGACTGGGTAGTAATCTAAACAAATCCTGGGGCAAGGGAGGAGAGGGAATGTTGGCAATCCACATCCTCCCTACATGGGCAGGACCCAGTTGGTCTCCAGGTATTTCTGGTTACATAAAAGTCTGCTTCACTCAAAGAGGTAAAAAATAAAAGGACCCAAAGGGAACATGACCAGTGATGGAAAATCAAGACATTGTGCCTCCGGATAAGAGGCTCCGATGAGAGCTCCCATCACAGCACAGAGACACACCCAAACTGAGGAACATTCCCCAGACTGCCAGCAACAGGTGTTAAACTGGCCCAGGAAGAGGGACAAGTCGAAAAGCAAGGTCCACTGCGGACAGGACCCTGGGCAGTGGGCAGGTGTGGAAAAAGAGCACTGTCCCTTCCAGCCACAGCATAGGCAGAAGCATCTGGGGAGTCTGCAATGCATACAAAGAAACATTCCAGGGGGACAGAGAAATCAGAGGTCAGCATTTGGGGAAGCTCAAGAAAAGGAATTCTTTGTACTATTTTTGCAATTTTTCTCTAAGTCTGAAATTATTTCAAAAGAAGGTTTAAATGTTCTTTTTGAAGATGGGGGGGTGATTAGTTGTACCTCAATAAAGCTATTTAAACAAGACAGGCCCAACCAGGGGTTGCATTCATACTGCTAATTAAACCCTGGAGTGTGGTCTCTGGGACAGGTGTGATGGCGGGCACTCACCTGTGCTGCTCCCTGAGGTTGGCAGGGCTGTGCGCAGTCGCTCAAAATCAGAGAACTCATCAGGCTCCGTGTCAAAGCCCCCGACCACTGTGGGGGGTCAGGATGACCACTCAGCTCCCCCAGGGGCCCGCCTTCTGCCCCTCGCCACTTGGGACTCAGGACCAAACTCATCATTTGTGACTCTGCCCCCGCCCAGTGCCCGCCCAGTACCTGCAGTGCCATTGGTGCTGGGCTTGGCAGGTGACCCCCCCCAGGGGTCTGAGAAGGCTGGGGCTGGGGCCCAGGGATCGGAGGCTGAAGGTCCGCTGGCTGGGGCCCCACCTGGGTGAGGAAAAAGGCACATGAGGGGCTGGGGCCCCACCTGCTGTGTGGTTGGGGGTTTGTCTCCTGAGTCAGTGGCTGTTCACAAACAAAAGCCCCCACTCCAGGCCCCCTCCCCTCAGAAGCACCTGTTCCCCCAGGACCAGCCCCTCACCTCATGATGTTCCAGCCCTGGGCACTCGCACAGCCTGGCCTTTGCCTGTGTTCCCCTCTGGGCCAAGCCCTCCTCGGCCCTGAGGCCTCCAGGATGCCCCCCAGGAAGCCCCCAGCCAGGGTGAGGGGACTCATCTGTGCTCATCAGACCCGCCCGCCTGCCCACCCTGCTGCTCAAGCCCCATTCCCCCAGATGCTGTGGGCATCCAACCCCTTCCCAGCCTCCCCACAGTGCCCTTCCCACTGTCCCCTCTCCCTGCCCTCCTCTGGGCTATTTTATCTGACCCCTCCTCCTCAGGGCCCCAGGCATGCCCAGGACTGCAACCTGGATGTGGGGACCGGCACTCACCGTCTGAGCTCCCCCATGGATCGGGCGTGGGCCCCTCACCAGCTGCGGGGGCCGGGGTCCCACCCCAAGGGTCAACCGGGGGCCCTGCAGAAGCAGCAGGCCTCCAAGGGTCCCCGGAGGCCGGTGTAGGAGACGGACCACCCCATGGATCAGCAGCTGGAGGGACAGGGGGTCCCCCCCAAGGGTCCGAGGTGGGGGCAGCCGTGGGGATGGCGGTGGCCAGGGGCGCTGGTCCGCCCCAGGGGTCTGAAGCTGGGGGAGGAGCCGGGGCCGTGAAGACATCAGCAAGATCCATGAGGGACGACTGCAGAGAAGAAAAAGGGTGTGAGGGGGAGGGATAGACAAGAGGCCCAGGAAAAAGCGTGCAGGGCAAACGGGGGTGGGGCGGGTGGAGTACGGGAGTCACGGGGAGGTGGCAGCCATGCCCTCCCTGTTTCTGGTACCCCAGAGCCCCCGACCCGGCCCTCCCTGCACCCTCACCCCTCTGTCCACTATCCCATGCCTACCAGGGCCCCTGAGCAAATGAAGGCAGAGGCCAAAGCCACTCATGCCAGCCCATCCTACAGCCTCCAGGAAGCCCTGATGATCACACACCCCAAGTCAGCTGGGGAACCCCAGGTTCCTAAGCACACCTAGCCTGGGGCCCAACACACGTTGCATGTCACTGCATGCTCCAGGCCTCCCAGCACAGCACACGCACCCACACACACAAGTTCCCTGCGTCCTGGGTAGACCCTGCTGCCCAGAGTCCCATCTCCCTGGATGTGACCCTTGGGGTACCCCCACCCTCCCACCCCTTCCTCAGGATGAAGAGACTAGTACTGGGCTGGGACTCCCTCTGGGGCCCCTCTGAGCTGGGTGGGGCACTGATAAAGTCTTCAGGCCAGGCCAGCCATCAGGAGGGATCTGGTCCCCACCCCAGGAATCTGGAGCAGCCTTGTGACCTGCGACCACTGTCTGGGAGGCTGGCTGTGCTGTGAAGACACTCAGGACACCCACGGTGACCTGTGCGAGGCTACAGGAGGAGAGACCAGAGGACAAGGCCAGCTTGGACACCTGCCACATACACACAGGGCAGGGGTGCAGAGGGACCCCCTCTCCACACTCACCTCCTCCTGGCCCCCCGTCTCCCGCTTGCTCTCCTCTATGGCCATCTGCAGCCTCAGGTCATCCCCACGGCGGATCCTCTCCTCCTATTTGGGCCATGGAGGCAGGCAGCAGGGAAGAGTCAGAAACTGAGTGACTGGACAACAAAGAACCCTCTCCCACCCAAACAAAGGCGACTGAAAATTAAAATGGGATGCGGACAACATGTGGGATGGGGTGGGACACAGGGTGCCAGCCTGGGGCGGGGACAAGGGCGCTGCTCGGACAGGATGGGAAGCACAGGCCCTCCTGCCAGGCGCCAGACTCAGGTGTTTCCTGCCCGGAGCAGGTGATGAAGCTGGGGCTGTGCTGGAGGGAAGGGAAGGCCCTCACCACCCGGAGTGGCTACCAGGCACCTGCTTCAAGTATGGTGTCGTCTGAGGATCCATCTTACACAGGGACCTACAGCTAAAAACGCTCCGGTGTGAACGTGTGGAAACTGTGGACAGGCCAGTGGGGTAGGGGCCCTTCAAGAGGATGTGAGGAGGTGGGGCCTGGGGAGGGTCTCAGAGGGGCCTGGCGGGGTGGGGAGGCTGCTCTGACCTTATCGTGCTCCTCACGGCTCAAACTAAGGGCCAGCTGGAGCTGGACGTCATCCTCAGGGCCGCAGGACGGGGGCTGGGGGAGAGAGAGTGTGAGGGGGCCAGAGTGCGGGAGGCAGGAGCGGGGGGAGGGGGGGGAATGCCCCCAAACTGGTGAAGGGCTAGCAGAGACAGAGCAGGGAAACAATCTTGGGTGGGGGGACGAGAGCTGGCCAGCAAAGGGCCAAGGCAAGATAAGCTTCCAGGGAGAGAAGGGGGAGGGGAATTCCCAGGACAGGGTAAAGAAGGACCAGCAGGCAGGCAGACAGACAGACAGACAGACAGAGGGAGCAGACCCGAGAGAAAGAGTTGGTGAGGGCTGTGGGTGAGGTATGAAGATGTGATGGCAGAACAGAACGGAAGTCAAACCCGCAGTGCCCCCCAATCCCCCACCCTGGCCCCTGGTCTGGCCCTAGCACCTGGTCGGCCTCCTCCTTGCTCATGGCCAGGGCCAGCTGCAGCTGCAGCTCCTCCTCCCCGCTGCTCTGCGGCCACGCCTGCTCTGCCTCGGGCGGGGGCCCAGAGCCCACGGCTGCAGAGGATGCTGGGGAGGAAGAGCTGGTGAGACGCAGAGGGAGAGACGGAACCCCATAGCCCAAGCTGCGGGCTTCTACTTCCAGGCTGGCCACCCCAAGGCTCCCGCAGGGACCCAGACACCAGGTTCCCTAGGAGGGATGGGAGCAGGGATTGTGAAGAGGCTTATCCAGCCCCACCCTGAGCTTCCCCGCTCAGGGAAGGACAGCCCTGCTGACAAGGGAGTAGACTTCAGGAACCTGAACCTGAGCCCAAGACCTGGGTTCCTGCACCACATGGAGCCAGGGACTCCTGTGTGCCTAGGGCTTGTCGCAGGGCTTTCCTCCCTGGTCTTAGCCAGGAAAGATCCCAGGTGGGGAGGCGGGGCCTCAGGATCCAGGGCTGGTCAACACTAGCTCTGACAGGACCATGGCATTAGGGGGAGGCAACCCCATCCTGGGTGACCAGCCTGAGTCACAAACAAGGGAAGGATGGCGAGACTGGGGAGGCAAGAACTGACTGTTACAAGGGCAGAGGAAAAGGGCACAGGCAAGGCTAAGGCAGGTGAGGATGAGCTGAGCAGACCAGGCACCGCCCTGCCCTCCTGTGAGGCCAAGTCCATGGGGAAACCATGCAGCCCCATGTCAGCCTGTTGAACATGCACTCGCGGCCCAACACACAGTGTCCCAAGACTAGGATTGGCAAACGGCTGCAACCACACCCACCAAGCCCTACTCTGGTTCAGCCCACAAACTAAGAAAGGGTTTCACATTTTTAAGTACTTTGGGGGGGGTCAAAAGATGAATAAATATCTTAAGACATGCAAAAATTACACCAAATTCAAATTTCAGGATCTGAGAATAGAGCTGGAGAAGCACAGAGCCCACCGCTCAAACAGGGGTCCAGCGAAGTGGCTGGAAGGGGGAAGCCCATAAGGGTAACGTGGAACATGCACTGACCGGCCCCACAGAGGACGTCTGTGACCCTGCTCCAAGGCCCCTCTGAGAGCACTCTCATCCCCACGGCACACCCTCTCCCTCTGCCTGAAACACCATCTTCCATGGCCCTGGGCACATCCCTCACATCCTCGTGGGTACTGGATATGATAGGCACAAGCAGAACGCCTGGCCCTCCCCAACACACCAGGCTCCTAGGGGTCATGGGCTCTCCTGCTACACCTGATCTGACCCGCGTGCCCAGGCGACCCACTGCAGGTAAGGCTCACCATTAATGTGTCCCCATCCCCTCCCCCTCCACTTGCCTAAACCCGCTGGTACCGTCCCACTGAGCTCATACCTCGTGTTTGAACTGGTTTCAGCAGTGACGCCCACCCAGCCAGGATGCCACACCCTTCCCAGCACCCCTCAGACCCACCCCCCCGGCAGTCAAACTGAAGGGTCCCGAGACAAATGCACTGTGACTTGTAGTCCCTCTATTCCAAGTGGCTTTTGGATGCTGGTAGCCACCTGCCAAACTGAGCTCGCGCCCATGAACAACTTCTTAAAAACTTAAAAGCAGGCTTTGCCTCCAAACAGATGGAAGGACGGCTCCTCAGGTATCAGCATGCACATGCCCTCTCCAGAGGGCTGTCCCTAACTACAGGGTGTGGGGAGACCCTCCGGTGGCCTTCTCTTCCTTTGGGCACTGACCACTCTCAGAAGAATGGCGGCGCATGGGTCTGGCAGCTCCAGGGCCCAGGCTGAGTGCAGAGCACACCTGGGCCCTCGCGAGGCACTAACATTTATGGACAAACTAGTGACACATGTCAGTTCCAGGGCCCACTGTGCGAGGGAAGCATCAGGGAGCTACAGGGGAGGCTCGAGGCAAAGGGAAGGGCCCAGGTGAACCTTCGTCCTGGTGAGGCGGGCAAGGAGGGAGCGGGCAGGGGAAAGCCTGAATTTGGAGCTCAGGTCCTGTTGGCCAGCAGAGAGGGAGCAGGAGGGCTCAGCCACCAGGAGAAAGGGACAGGGCACGGCTGGGAGGGAGCAGTGAGGAGGGGGACACACAGGCCCTGGGGACTCACCTGTGGCAGTCTGCGCCAGCTTTTCCTTGGTCTTGAGCGCGTGGGCACGCTCCTCCCGCAGCCGGTCCTCATCACGCAGCAGGGCCACCAGCTGCTTGGCCTTCTCACGCACGTTCACGCCCTGGTCCTTGCCATCGCGGTCCACGTACTGGAAGTCCTTCAGCGTCTGCACAGCATACATGTTCTCCTTGCACTGCTGCGACACTCGCTCCGAGCCCGTCTTGATGAGGTACTCCATCAGCGTCATGGCCTGCGGGGAGGACAGGTGTATGGCCTGTGATCTACGTGCATCTCCATAAAAAGACGTGCAAGGGGACCTGAAAGCTGCAATCACCACAGGCCCGTCTGGGTACCGCTGAGCAGTGCAGACTCTGCCCAGTTTTGTAAAATAAAAATCTAAAGGAGCACAGCCACAATACACACTTGTCACACCATGCTCACGGCTCATCACACTGCGCTCTCCATTGTTCTGTAAGTTTAGATGGAAAGTGTCACCACTTCACATGTGAAACTTCACACCAACATGCTGAGAGGGAGGCCTAGGCCCGGGCTCTCTGGGGGAAGACACGCAGAGTGCTGGGAGGATAGGGAGAAGACATACCTTCTGGTGTCTGCATTTTATGACATCAGAACAAATTCTAACAAGTTAAAATTAAATAATAAAAAAAAAAAACCCACATGAGGCCTTTGTGCTGTCGGAGCCTCAGCTTCAGGCAGGTCTCGGGAGCAAGGCATGGGGTGACGGCCCTTTGCAGACCGAGGAAGGCCACCCTTGGAAAAGAGCAGGTGAGTCTCTGAAACACGCCCAGGAAACAACGCAGGGAAGGGCCGGACATTTGGGCAATCTCTATGAACCCCTGACGTCTGCCGGGGGCCCTGCTGTGGGCCATTGGCGCCTCCAGGACCTGGGTCTGGCATGGCTTCCTACAGGTGTGCTCACAGTATCTACGTCTGCCATCGGAGGTTAGTCTTTAACTGGCCTTCTAGGTGTTTGCACACAGAGGAGAAAGGAAAGGACAAGCCACACCCATGTGGAAGGTGCGCCACAACTCCCATGGCAGCCGTCCTGCTCATCACACTTAACAGAACTTCCCCAGCAGAGGTCAGACCCACAATCTCCAACGTGGGACCAACAAATATCAGACAAACAACCCACCTCAGTCCAGGTCAGGCCTTGCACCAAATGAATTCTGGAAACTTTCATTTTCAGACATCTGGGGACTTTGGAATTGCAGTTTAAAAGACGGTGAACCCGGCAATAACCCAAACATCCATTAAGATGAGATGCACACAGATGTTCACATGATGGGAACATATGGACGCCTGCCACAAATACCAATCTCCCAGACACGGCAGGGAGCATGAGGAATCGTGAGTCCCTGTAATGAAGTTCTAGAACAGTCTCAGCAGGCAGAAGACAGGGCCCGGGACCCCTAGGTGTGGGAAGCATCCTCTGCCTCCCTCTGGTGGTGGCCTCACCATGGTGATGGATGCAGAGGGGAGCGAGTGGGGTACCACACACACGATGTATGCCTCAATGGGAAACGGACGCTTTCTAAAAGTGGACTAGATAGCCCAAGAGTCTCTAATAATTCTCCAAACAGCTTGGTCAAGGATGTCCAGGACACCAGAATACAAGTGTCAACTTAAGATAGGGCTCAGCAAACATTCCAGCCTTTAGGACTGTGGTCCCATCCCACCACGCAGCTCTGGGGCCTGGCTGCATGCCCATAAAGCTTTGTTTACCAAAGCACAAGATGAGACAATTCAGCCTGGGCCGGAGTTTGCTGACCAGACCCTGCATTCCTCGGTCAAGGCAGGTGACACACCAAGTCAAGAGGGGTCTTTGGGACTCCCCTCCCAGCCCCACTGGATCCTAGGTGCCCTGAGCCTTCTTGTGCCTCAGTTTCCTCACCTGGAAAACAGAGGCAGGAAAAGTACCGTATTTCCCCATGTATAAGATGCACCCTTTTCCGGAAAATTTGGGGTCTAAAAACTGGGTGCGTCTTATACAATGGTTGTAAATTTTTTTACTTACATTTCCCACTGAGGACGAGGCAATATATGAAGACAGTGATTTGTCATCAGACACAGATGAGGACAAGCTAATGGTTGGGAGTTTTGACAGTGATGAGGAGTTGTATGAATTTTATGATGAATAAAACTTGAGTTCAAT